AGGAGGAGGAGGAGGAGGAGGAGGAGGAGGAGGAGGAGGAGGAGGATGGAGGAGGAGGATGGAGGAGGAGGACGGAGGAGGATGGAGGAGGAGGAGGTGCTGCTACCGCTGGCCTTCCGCCGTTTTCGCCTCCCTGGGCCTCCCAGGAGGCCCCCGTCGCCACGGCTCGAGCCGCCTCGAAATCATGGGCAGATGGCACCCCGGGAGAGGCCGGGGAAGTACAGTGCCGTTTTTAATACATGCTCCGCGTGCGGAGCATGTATTGAAAATGCAGGGATTTAGTATTAAAAGCAACGATGAGTTCATGCATACATTTATTCATACATTGATCATGTATTAAAATCAAATATTTTTCAAACTCCTATGTATTAAAAACTGCCCTGTACAGTCAACCCGCACAGTAAGGGTGGGCAGCCTTCCCAAGGATACCCCCGTGCATCCTCGCCTCCTCGGCCCACCCCTGGCCGCTCTCGTTGGCCGCGGCCCGCTCGACGAGCTTCGAGCTGGGCGTGCGGGGCCCCTGCATCCTCATCTCGCGCATCCCTGCCATACGGGGTCGACTTGTGGCGGCCTCGGAGCCCGATGCTCCGAGGATGGCCCCGCCCCTCCCGCCTCCGCGCCGCTTGGCACAGCCGGGCGGCGCGCTGTGGCCGCGCGCAGACAGGGGGCCCGGATCTCCGACGAGGCGCCTGCTTTTCTCCCTCCGGGGTGTGCTGCTCCTGGACCTCGGCCTCTGGTCAGTGCCGCTGCAACGATCCCCCCCCCCCTCCCCCCCCAAATCCCCTTCGAGAAACCCCACCAGCTTGCCGCCCCAGTCGGGGATGCACCCCTCGAAAGCCGAAGGGAACGGCCCGTCTTCCCATCCAGGGGGGTAAGTCGGCCAGTGGGGCCCAGGCCACGCCACTGGGGATGGGGGTCGGTTCAACGGTACCCATCCGGGGCACGCCATCGGCCCCGGGACCCTCCGCCACGGCTCCGGGACCCTGCCTCCCCAGCAGGGCCGTCCACAGCAAAGCGGCTCGGGATGGAGGGGGCGGTCTCTCTGGGGGCTTCGGCCGAGATCTCCAGGGGCGCCCACGCTCTGATTATCCCGGCAAAGCAACCTAACAGCGATGTGTAGGAGCATACCTGGAAGCATTCCCCTTAAGCTTCGGATGAGAATCCAGTTGTAGAATTCTGCTGTTCTCGCAGTCGTAGTCGCATTCGCGATGACAGTCGCAGTGGCAACGGCAGTCGCAGTCACAGCCTCAGCCTCAGCCTGCCTCAGCCTCAGCCTCAGCCTCCTCAGCCTCAGCCTGCCTCAGCCTCAGCCTCAGCCTCAGCCTCAGCCTCAGCCTGCTTCAGCCTCAGCCTCAGTCTGCCTTCAGCCTCGGCCTCAGCCTCAGCCTGCCTCAGCCTCAGCCTGCATCAGCCTCAGCCTCAGCCTCAGCCTGCCTCAGCATCAGCCTGCCTCAGCCTCAGCCTCAGCCTGCCTCAGCCTCAGCCTCAGCCTGCTTCAGCCTCAGCCTCAGTCTGCCTTCAGCCTCGGCCTCAGCCTCAGCCTGCCTCAGCCTCAGCCTGCATCAGCCTCAGCCTCAGCCTCAGCCTGCCTCAGCATCAGCCTGCCTCAGCCTCAGCCTCAGCCTCAGCCTGCCTCAGCCTCAGCCTCAGCCTGCTTCAGCCTCAGCCTCAGTCTGCCTGCAGCCTCGGCCTCGGCCTCAGCCTGCCTCAGCCTCAGCCTGCCTCAGCCTCAGCCTCAGCCTGCCTCAGCCTCAGCCTCAGCCTGCTTCAGCCTCAGCCTCAGTCTGCCTTCAGCCTCGGCCTCAGCCTCAGCCTGCCGCAGCCTCAGCCTGCATCAGCCTCAGCCTCAGCCTCAGCCTGCCTCAGCCTGCCTCAGCCTCAGCCTGCCTTCAGCCTCAGCCTCAGCCTCAGCCTCTGCCTCAGCCTCGGCCTCAGCCTCAGCCTGCCTCAGCCTCAGCCTGCATCAGCCTCAGCCTCAGCCTCAGCCTGCCTCAGCATCAGCCTGCCTCAGCCTCAGCCTCAGCCTCATCCTGCCTCAGCCTCAGCCTCAGCCTCAGCCTGCTTCAGCCTCAGCCTCAGTCTGCCTTCAGCTCGGCCTCAGCCTCAGCCTGCCTCACCTCAGCCTGCATCAGCCTCCTCAGCCTCCTGCCTCAGCATCAGCAGCCTCAGCATTCAGCTCAGCCTCAGCAGCCTCAGCCTCAGCCTGCCTCAGCATCAGCCTGCCTCAGCCTCAGCCTCAGCCTGCCTCAGCCTCAGCCTCAGCCTGCTTCAGCCTCAGCCTCAGTCTGCCTTCAGCCTCGGCCTCAGCCTCAGCCTGCCTCAGCCTCAGCCTGCATCAGCCTCAGCCTCAGCCTCAGCCTCCTCAGCATCAGCCTGCCTCAGCCTCAGCCTCAGCCTGCCTCAGCCTCAGCCTCAGCCTCAGCCTCAGCCTGCCTTCAGCCTCAGCCTCAGCCTGCCTCAGCCTCAGCCTGCATCAGCCTCAGCCTCAGCCTCAGCCTGCAGCATCAGCCTGCCTCAGCCTCAGCCTCAGCCTGCCTCAGCCTCAGCCTCAGCCTGCTTCCTCAGCCTCAGCCTCAGTCTGCCTTCAGCCTCGGCCTCAGCCTCAGCCTCAGCCTCAGCCTCAGCCTGCCTCAGCCTGCAGCATCAGCCTCAGCCTCAGCCTGCCTCAGCAGTCAGCCTTCAGCCTCAGCCTGCCTCAGCCTCAGCCTGCCTCAGCAGCCTCAGCAAAAAATGTGGCCCGGGAATGGAGTTCTGGGAACTCGAAGAACACGAAGTGGCCTACAGTTGGCTCCGGGCATTCAAAATCATGCCCAGGAATGGAGTTCTGGGAACTCGAAGACCACGAAGTGGCCTACAGTTGGCTCCGGGCATTCAAAATTTGGCCCCGGAATGGAGTTCTGGGAAGTCGAAGAGCACGAAGTGGCCTACAGTTGGCTCGGGCATTCAAAATGTGGCCCGGAAGAGCACGAAGTGGCCTACAGTGGCTCCGGGCATTCAAAATGTGGCCCGGGAATGGAGTTCTGGGAACTCGAAGAGCACGAAGTGGCCTACAGTTGGCTCCGGGCATTCAAAATGTGGCCCGGGAATGGAGTTCTGGGAGGTCGAAGAGCACGAAGTGTGTGACTGTTTGCGAAAAGCGCATTCGGACACGAGTTCGGACACAGCTCCCCGGATGCCGCCCCGACCCCCCTGTGGAGTCATCTGCTGCTCTCTTTTGAGTCCACTAGAAACCTATCAGCAAAAGCTGTTCGGTAAGAAGCGCACGGCGACGGGGGCCTGGTGATCGCTTTCTCATTCATTCTTTTGCCGGTCGGTGCGGGCCCTCCCCCCCCCCTTCCCCCTCCCCGTCGAGTAGATCTTGGCTGTTTTCGGCGCGCCCGTTTCGAGCAGGCGGAGTCTCCCCCATAGGACGCACCGTTGCAAACAATCGCACTTAGCGGAGGTCCGGAGCCAGACCTCCCCTCGTGATGCTCCAACCTGCTTTAGCCTTGACCGCCAGAAATAATATCGAGCACCAAGAGAGTGCCGAAACTGGAGGGCCTTCGTGTGTCGGGCACTGCGAGGCGATACTCCTTCGACACTGCTTCGATCCTTCTCTGGTTGCTCGAAATTATCTCTGGGATGTGGCTCGTAAGTGCGATGGGAGCAACATAACCCCCCCACCTCCTTCCCCCCCTTCCCGCCCCACGGGGGAGGAGGAGGAGGAGGAGGAGGAGGAGGAGGAGGAAGGGAAGGGGGAGGAGGAGGAGGAGGAGGAGGAGGAGGAGGAGGAGGAGGAGGAGGAGGAGGAGGCGGAGGCGGAGGCGGAGGCGGAGGAGGAGAGGAGGAGGAGAAAACGCCCACCTGAGAAGACCCACCTGGGAAAACGCCCACCTGGGAAGATCTCGTCGGGGAGTGCCTCCTGCCCAGTGCCCCGGCCTTTGGGCGTGGCGCGGGGGCCGGCCCCGAGCACGGGGGCCGACGCCGTCGCACCGCGCAGCAGCGGGCGGCACGCCGCGCAGCCAAGAGGGCGCTGCTCTGACCAGGGCCGCTCGTTGCGTGCGGCCGAGGTGGGCTGGCTGGGAGCACCCATCGCGTACCGGTGGAGCTCCCGCCCGGTCAACGTCTACCAGGTGTCAAGGGAGGATGAGGGTGCGAAGGAGGATAGGGCGCGGAAGACGGCTTCCGGAGCTGCCCCCCCCCTTTCTCCCTTCCGCTCCTTCTGTGGGCATTTCGGAGCTAGGGGGGCCCTCGCTAAAAGGGGAGGGGGGCCTCCAGGCTACCCCCCCTTCTTTTCCAGAGCCCAAGGTCAGCCCAGGCTCTCCTTTCGAAGGGGGGGGGGCTTCCCAAGCTACCCCCTCCCTCTTTTTTTGTTTCGATTGTGTTGCTGGGGGGCCCCTGGCTAAAGGGGAGGGGCTTGGAAGCTACCCCCCCCTCTCTTCCTTTTCGGGGCCCGGGGTAAGCCCGGGCTCCCCTTTCCAAAGGGGGGAGGCTTCCGAAGCTACCCCCCCTCCCCTGTTGGCCTTTCCAGCTGGAGGGCCCCAGCTTAAGTGGGGGCTTGGAGGAAGCTACTTTTTGTTTCCGGCGCCGCGTTGGCTTTCGGCGCGCTCGTGGTTTGCGGCGCCTCTTTGGTTTTCGGCGCCCCTTTGGCTTTCGGCGCCCCTTTTGCCTTTGGCGCCCCTTTGGTTTTCGGCGCCCCTCTGGTTTTCCGCGCCCCTCTTGTCTTCGGCGCCCCTGTGGCTTTCCGCGCCCTTTTTGGTTCTCTGCGCCCTGTTTGGCTTTCGGCGCATCGTTGACTCTCGGCGCCATCTTGGGTCCCGGCGTCTCTTTGGTTCTCGGCGCCTCTTTGACTTTCGGCGCCCCTTTTGCCTTTGGCGCCCCTTTTGCCTTTGGCGCCCCTTTGGTTTTCGGCCTCCCTTTGAATTTTGGCGCCCCTTTGGTTTTCGGCGCGCCTTTGGTTTTCGGCGCTCCTTTGGTTTTCGGCGCCCGATCGGTTATCGGCGCCCCTGTGACTTTTCGGCGCCCTTTTGGTTTTCGGCGCATCGTTGGTTTTCGGCGCCCCTTTTGCCCTTGGCGTCTCTTTGGTTTTCGGCGCCCCTCTGGTTTTCCGCGCCCCTCTTGTCTTCGGCGCCCCTGTGGCTTTCCGCGCCCTTTTTGGTTCTCTGCGCCCTGTTTGGCTTTCGGCGCATCGTTGACTCTCGGCGCCATCTTGGGTCCCGGCGTCTCTTTGGTTCTCGGCGCCTCTTTGACTTTCGGCGCCCCTTTTGCCTTTGGCGCCCCTTTTGCCTTTGGCGCCCCTTTGGTTTTCGGCCTCCCTTTGAATTTTGGCGCCCCTTTGGTTTTCGGCGCGCCTTTGGTTTTCGGCGCTCCTTTGGTTTTCGGCGCCCGATCGGTTATCGGCGCCCCTGTGACTTTTCGGCGCCCTTTTGGTTTTCGGCGCATCGTTGGTTTTCGGCGCCCCTTTTGCCCTTGGCGTCTCTTTGGTTTTCGGCGCCCTCTTGGTTTCCGGCGCCTCATTGGTTTTCGGCGTCCCTTTGGTACTCGGCGGTTGGTTTTCTGCGCCCCCTCGGTTTTCGGCGCCCTTTGGTTTTCGGCGCCCTTTCGGTTTTCGGCGCTCGTTTGGTTCTCGGTGCCCTTGTGGTTTTCGGCGCTCCTTTGGTTTTCAGTGCTCTTTTGGCTTTCGGCGCCGTTTTGGTTTTCGGTGTCCTCTTGGTGTTCGGTGCCCCTTTGGTTTTCGGCACCGTTTTGGTTTTCGGTGCCATTTTGGTGTTTGGCGACCTTGTGGTTGTCGGTGCTCTATTGGTTTTCGGCGCTCGTTTGGTTTCCGGCGTCCTTCTCATATTGGGCGACTCTTTTGTTTTCCATGCCTTTTTGGGTTTTGGCGCTCTTCTCGTCGCCACCGCTGGACTCGCTTCGAAGAGAGCATCCAGAGAGAGGTCCCTGGAGTAGCGGTTTCGGTACCGTATGGTTTCTCCAAGGTTGTCGATTGGCTCTTTGCAGTGCAGTCCAAATGTATCTTTGAGGACGGCTTCGTCAACAGCGATCCCCATGCCGGCAACGTGCTTCTGCTTGATGACGGGCGCCTCGGGCTCATCGATTGGGGTCAGGTCTGCCAGCTCACGCCGCAGCAGAGGGTCACGCTTGCGAAGGCCCTCTTGGCGGTAGCTGACCGCGACGAGCCGTTGATCGCGCGAATGGCGTGGAGCATGGGGGTGCAGACGAAGAACGCTTCGGACTGGGTCGTCATGAAGCTCGGCATCTTTTGGCTTGGGAGCTTCGGAGACGACGTGGTGGGTGAGCTGGGCGGCGCGACGTGCTTCGAGGAGAACCTGACCAAGATCGACCGCATCGTCAAGGCGGGCGACGCGTACTTCGGTGCCGTCCGCTGCATTCGGGGGCTGCCAGGGGTCGGCCCCTGCTCCAGGGCGTCCTCCCCAGCATTCCGCGCCATTCTGGAGCACACCTCCGCGGTCCCTCCCGGGCCTCGCGGGACTTGCTATGGTTACCAGCCTGGAACATCTCCCTATCCCTATGCTGGGCACCTCCTCATCACGATGCCAATCTTAGGGGTTCCCTTTTTTTTTGAGGGCGAGTCCCTAAGATTGTCATCGCCTTTTGGCGTGTCACTCTTAGGGATAGGGATACGTTCGAGGCTGGTAATATGGAAGCCACCTGAGCGACCGAGGAAAACGGGGTCGGTTGCGCAGACAGTCGCGTGTGTAAGCTTTGCTCGCCATGACGAGCGCAAGCGCCCTCGCTTCCAGTGCGGCGTGCCACGCTGGCGGCCCGCGTAGGTCGCGGCGTAAGGTCGCCATGCCATCGTGCGTGAGAGACTTCGTTCTTTTCGTCGCTCACCTGGTGTTACGTGGGGTCTGTCCCTCTACAGGGGGAATATTGAAAAATATCCCGGGGACGATCTTTTGAGCATTTTTTTAAATCTAGTTTGACATATTTTTGGAGTACCTTTATTTTTCCTTCAATATCCGCCTGTAGGGGGACATGCCCGACCTAAACCAGGTGCCCCCCTGGAAGCGCTGGCGTCGTTTCACGCCAGCCGTCTTCGCCCAGCTTCGGGACTGCGGGGCCCTCGCGGATGGATTGGGCTCGAGGAAGGCTCCGAAGAGGGGCACCGAGGGCTTTGGTCGTCACCTCTCACGCTGCTGTACTTTTCCACGGCGCCAGATCTCAGGGGGCCCCCGTGTGCCCCCTATGGTCGTGCTTTGCTCGCAACTTGGCCCCCCCGAGGCCCCGACCCCTTCCTTTGGCCGTCGTTCTTCCTCCCGCGAGCCGTCTTTTTGGACGGCCCCAGGGCCTGGCCAAGGGCCTCCAGGGCCCGAACATCATCAACACGCAACCTTTGCAGCTTTTTTGGCATGTGTTTCGCGAGGGTAGCGAGATATATACATATCCACTGCCCCATGCCTGACCAATCCTGAGCCCAGTAATATCGGCCTCACCGCAACATACTTATACTATGTGTGCGTCGCCCCCCCCCCCAGGGGCGACGCGCGCACCGAGAAATCTTATAGTATATGCGTCGTGGCGGGCGCTTTCTGGCCACACCGCTCGGGAAACGATCTATTACAAGATGGGTATACTGTATGTTCGGGTCGGACGCGAGCCTCCAAGGAGGATATATGGTATTGGTATGTCCCTGTGCGTCCCCTAATCGTGTACGTGCGCTCCTGGCCAGGCCAGGCGGGCGTATACGCCGCCACCTGGGCCCAGGACGGGCCAGGCCTGGCCCAGATCTCCCCCTCCTCCTCCTCCTTCTCCTCTTCCTCCTCCTCCGCCTCCTCCGCCTCCTCCTCCTCCTCCTCCGCCTCCTCCTCCTCCTCCTCCTCCTCCTCCTCCTCATCCTCCCCCTCCCCCCCTCCCCCTCCGCCCCCTCCTCCTCCTCCTCCTCCCCCCCTCCTCCTCCTTCTCCTCCTCCTCCTGCTCCTCCGCCTCCTCCTCCTCCTCCTCCTCCTCCTTTTCCTCCTCCTCCTCCTCCTCCTCCTCCCCGTCGCCCTATTTCTCGCGACTGCCAGGAGGTCTGGGGACCCTGGCAGCCCCCGGCGCGTGCTCATGACGCGCGGCGTCGCCGCTCTCATCCGGGGGGCGTCAGAGCTGACCACCTCTCGCCGATCCCGGCTGGGGGGCGATCCTCGGCCCCCCCCGGATCGGTGGGCGGGCCCCCCTTGCCGGGGCAAGATCCCGACCCCGGGCTCACTTCGATTCCTCCTCCTCCGCCTCCTTCTCCTGCCCTCCTCCTCCTCCTCCTCCTCCTCCTCCTCCTGCCCTTCTCCTCCTGCCCCCCCGATCCCGATTCGATTCGATGCGATGCGATTCGATTTACGTAGATGGGTTCCGATTCCGTTCCGGTTCGACTTCGGATTCCGATCTGGGATCCACTGTCTCCGTGGAGGCCTACCAGGCTGCCGATGTCCACCGATACGACTCTTCTTGACGAGGCTGCCGATTTCCGCCGATCCGATTCATTTCGGTCGCCGATTCATTTCGAACCGATTCATTTCGATCGCTTCTGGCCTCTCCTGCCCCTTCCCCACCCTGATCCTTGGATGCCAGGGTTGGGCTGGCTTTATGTAAGGAGCCGCTCGTTGACGCTCCCGGGGCCAGTCTTAATTTCTCCAAACGTTGAATGTCTGGGGAGCCGTGCACACCGACCGATCCCCGGACGTCTGACGGTGATTCTTTGCATTGTACGGCCCCAGAGGTCCCGACCACTTAGCCCAGATCTTTCCCTCCCGTAAGCCGCTTGGGGCACTTGCAACCCACTGAGCAGATGGTTCGGCCAATTATGCCCCACCTTGGCATCCACTCGGAGCTCCCCCCCTACCCCCTTACCAACCTCAGCGGTGTTCCAACCAGAGGTCTCGACCCATTCTCGGGCCGAACGCAAGGGGGGGATAGGGAAAGGGGGGGGTTACGAAATCTGCTGCATGCAGCTGGCTTCGGCCCCGCCGCCGGGCCCATTCCTCGATACATGGGCGCCTCCTGGCGCCGGGAGGCGCTGGGAATTAGCTACGTGTGTTGATTCTCAAGCCCCCCCTTTGCTATGCCCTCTTTTGCTCCCCCCGACATTCTCGGGGGCCCACTGTTCATCCTCAGCTGCTTCTGGACGGTCCCGGGGCCCCAGCGGGGGCCGGGCGAGGTCCCGAGGCGGCAGAAACGAGCCCCCCCCCCCGCCGTCGAGGTTTGCTCGCACGGCGCGAGGTGGCCTGGGCACAGAGAGGTCCTGGGCCCGGGAGCGGCCTGGCCAGCTTCGGAGGGGTCCTCTGAAGTCCGATCCGACGTCACGAAGGTCGATTGGACGTAAGAGTGGCCTGTCGCCGGAGTGGCCTTTGGTGCGGGCCCATTGGGGCCCCCCGATCGCCGAACGCGATGCGACAGTAGCGTCTTGCGCGATCGGATTTGGCCCCACCGCGGCCCCCCAAAAGCCGCGCACCAAAGGTCACTCTTGCCCAGGGTCACTCTTGCGTGTAGCCGAAAGGGAACGGGAGCATCCTCGGCACTCGCGGCCTGAGACCTGGGCTCCACCTTTCTCTGCAGCACTTTTCTCGAGCTGGGTCGCTGCGCGGGATTGCCCCGGGGCCCGGCGTGGGGCGTTCTCCGAAAGGGTCCTCATGCCTTCCAGGACCGACGGAGTTGCCGTCTCTTCTGCCGCGGCAGGCGGCGGAAGGGCGGCGGAAGGGCGGCGGAAGTGAAGCGAGGCCGTCTCCGCCGGCGGAGGGGCGGCGGAGGGGCGGCGGAAGGCGGCGGAAGGGAGAAGTGCGCCCCCAGGAGCTGGCAGCGTTTTTGGGTTCAGGGCTTTTGGGTTCAGTCGGGGCCCTGAAGAAGGAACCCTTTTCGTTGGGAAGGGGCTCCGCGTCCCTTAAGTGTTTCGCAGCTTGCCTCAGGTGTTCCTTAGGTTTTCGACAGGAAATCGAAGGTTCACTCATGGAGAAAAGGGGCCTCACTCCTCATGTAGGGTTCCTTAGGTCAACGCCCCGACTGCAGGGCGGGCATCGCCGGGCGTGAA